ATACAGCAGTATAGTGAACACATTTTGGCCCCATCACAAAGATAATCAGTAACTTTTTCACTGTTTTTAATGAATGACAGCTTAGAAGATAATTAATTGGTTTCTTAACTATTGTTTATTGAAATAATTAAGTTACAAATGTAGTTTATTAAGTTGGTTTGTTTTCAGTAAGTTATAGTTAAGGAAAACTAGAGCATGAATGTAATGTTAAATTGCAGTTAATTGAAAACGGAAGTTAAAGTTGTCAGTCTTTTCCTTGTAGCTAGAAGAGGAACAGGGAGCAATTAGCCTTAGGTTTATATATGTAAAGCTAACTCATACTTCAGCACTGTATCCTGTATAGTAGGTTTCTCATTAGATGAATGCTTCTTTCTAGCTAAAATAAATATATATGCTACAGTTAACCTGCCTATACGGAATTTATGCAAGGATGTTATGTTGATTTCTCAATGTCCTTTTTTACCTAATGGTATAATTCTTATCTTTCATTTGTTCTTTTATATGCTGTAATTTAATACTTCTGAAGTTTATAAACCCAAACAATATATAGAAACTATGGTTTAACATAGCCCCAAATGGAATAACAAAGAGAAAATTGTGTTTGTTGTTAAAGTAATGTGTTGAATAGCAGAGAGAAAAATGAAGGAGAGGAAAAAGATTTTTGTTCTGTTGCAGAAAACTGAGATAGAAGCTGAATTTGTTATGGTCAAAAAGAAAGCTTTGGAAAGGTTGACAACTGAAGTAATGCAATTGCATGACATTCTACCCAAAGTATTGAATAATGATATCTTAGAAAGCTTTCAGAAACTGGATGCCCTTGAAACAAGTAAGTTTTCCTGTATTAACCACAGTTAATTCATAGAATAGCATTGAATATTCTTTGAAAGCAAGACAATTGTTAATATTATTTGTTAGGTTATATTCTGCCTTTTGTTTAGGAACTCAAGGCAGGAATACAGTATAGATATTTAAATATGAAAATGTGTAACTCACACTTAAGGGCCCTACCTTTTTTCTTCCAAAAAAAAAAATCAAGGTGCAGAAGTGAAGTAATGTGAGATAATGGGATGACACTTTTCTTGCCCAATAGTCTCCTACTTCATATCAAGTTGAAAAATGGAAATCATTTGGAATGGAGAAATGGCAGATAGGAAGAGTATTAAGAATATTCCTGCTGCTTCTTTGCTCCCTACTAAATTATCTTTTTTTTTTTTTGACAAACTAAAATTCTAGCTTTACAACTTGTATTATGTTTTCCATTGGTGACATGTGGAAGCAATCAACATAATACAGAGATAAAGCCCTTAAAACTTTAATTTAAAGGGGAGCTGTAGAATTGTTTCTTCTGCCTCACTCTTGATCATAACTGATCCAATCACTTTAGGCCCAGTGCTACTGTTTTTCATATTCTTGCTGTTTCTGAGAGAAAGAGGAAGAGACATGATTGCCTGCTGGCCATCTGAGTCAAATATGATGACATTATGAGTTCAGGCTGGTAACAGTCTGGAACTTGTGCTGGGCTCTGGTTATCCTGTTCTCACAGGACCTGTCAGCTGTTATTTTCCTGGTGCTATTCTTTGTGTTTGAGAGCATATTAAGAAAAACTTAAGGTTCCAGTTCTTTGCTTTTCCACTTTTTTTTAATAGAACTAAGGTTTTTGTAGCAGAGCAGTGGGTGAGATGTAAGAAAATGAAAGGTTGAAAACCAGTGAAATAGAGGTCTACCTTCGGTTTTTGTTTATTTATTTAGCAGATGTATATACATACAGGGTATCTGCTGCATACTGAATAGGTGACTTTTCAGTCAAGGCTTGAAAATCTCTAAGATCCATTACATTATCAGGTAGACTGTTTCTTAGTCAAAAAGCTTATACAAATTGAGTTCTTACTAAAGGTTAAGAAAAATGTCCTTTTTTATAAGTTGAGCTTATTCGTTTAAATGATATTCACAACAAGAAAATAAAATCGCTTTGTCCTATATATGATTGGTCTTCAAATATTTCAAGATGTCTGTCATATTGCCTTACTGTCATCTCTTAAGGCTAAACATACCAAACTTCTTCAACCTGTCCTTGAAGGATTTGATCTTCAAGCTTTTCACCACATTTGTCACTTTCTTCTAGATATTTATTACGATGTGCTGTTTCGTTGCTGTTTAAGTGGTAGTATTTTGAATGACTTGATTTGTTTTGCATTATTTTGCTTGTGGTCCTCCATTTTTAGTTGTAGAAAAGAAAGGTAATGAATTGGAACAATTGAGAATGGATTGTGAACACTATAAAGCTCGCTTGGAAGCAGCCCAAACAGATTGTGTGAGAGAGAGAAAGGTAAAGGAGGATTTTCATTCATTACGCAGTTCATATATATATATTTTTAAAAGCACCATTAAATTTACCTCTCCTCTAGGAGCTTAATGTGGCTTATGTGCTTTCCCTTTTATCCATAAAATGGCAACAGGGTTGGTGGGGTTGAGAATGACTGGCCCAATCTCAGCCAGAGAGTTTTCATGGCTGATGGTGGACTTGAACACGGGTCTCCTTTGTCCTAGACCAATACATTAATCGCTATACTACATTGGCTCTTGGCAAATAAGGTTAAGAGTTCAGTCTTAATTAGACTTTTACTCTGCAATTCTGTATTTGTTTTCTTGAGAATGATGCCTTTTAGAAATCAGAATATATGTCTGAATAGACATGAATAGGGTAATACTATGTGAAACAATATGTGGTAACATTTTGCTAGCTCATAGGATTGCTCTTTTAATAAGCTGAAATATGCTTATTATTGCCGGATTATCATGACAATCAAATAATTATTCAAAGATTTCTTCTATTAGGGAACATTAATATGTAATATACAACTAAAGGTAATTCTACTAGATAATTTCTTGAACTAGATAAGATACCTTTTTTTGTAGCATTATTGTTCTGTCTTCTCTTGTTGTATAGAGGTTGTAGACTTAAGATGCAAATCCTATGTACATGTATTTCTAAGTAAGTCCAGTTGAACCCAATTTGAAAAAGGTGACAGACACCAAATATCAATGTTATACTTTATTCCTTTTCCACAAGATACTACTGCCTATAGTTATAACAGCCTTCATCAACCTAATGCCTTTGGATATGTTGATCTACAAATTTAATTATTTCCAGGTAGCATGGCCAATGGGAAAGAGTGATCTAAAATGTCAGAAGTTCTCAGATGTTCTTGCATACTTACCTTTTGCATGTGAATCAAACAGAAAAAAATTGACCGTTCTTTATTGAATCTTCCCAAAATAGTGATATCAGAGACAAGACTGCCCATTTCTCTAGGAAGACAATGCATTGATGCAGGAAAAAAAAATCCTTGGCTTAAGTCACTTACAAAGAGAGCAAAACCTTTTTTCCTTTTTCTGTTAACTTTTTTGTAGTAGTGATGTATAAACTGTGGAAAGAAATTGAAGAATTGCTGATATACATATTGAAGGCTTCTCCATATGTAAAACAACAGACACAGTACAGCTATATAAAATAAATTTTGAAGTAATCACAAACAGAATAATGAATTTCAAGTTTACATTGCCTTTCTTTAGATGTCATAAAAGATCCAAACTATAAGTCTCATTTTAGTATATTGCCTTTGTTTTATTTTTTGTATCCTAACTGGATATGATAATTGATTTATCTGCATGCCTGCTGGGTTCATGTAGGGTGGTGGAAATCTATTTTTATTATTTAAAAGTACTTACAGGTGAAGAGAGTTGAACTATTTCCTGTCTTCTGTCACTTAAGATTTTTGTTTCCTTGCCTAGCTTGCTTTTCAGGTGAGACTTGGATTGGATAAATTAGCATTACTAGATCTGGACTGCAAAAATCTAGATGACTATTAGATAGTAGTGAAGATATCACTTTGCTGCCATTTACTATTTAGTAGGTGTCTGAACTTTTACAATCCAGATGTAGTAATCTGAAGAAAACAAAATGTTGGGCAACACAAAAAATAGAAAAGAGCATTCAGTTCCATCACCTATGCTGCCTATTTAGTTAAGAAACTTATATTTTCTGTCTTATACACTAAACCTGGTTACTATGTCTGATGCAATAAACTTGGTTACTATGATCATGTCTAGTTTGCTTCTTATATTCTTTTTGTAACATGCAGTATGGAAACATTCAAAGTTCTCAGCAGCCATGCTTAACAGCACACAAAACTATTTAAAATTTGCTAAGACGTTTTTGCAACTTCTTGAGAAATATTAGAACTGCCTGAATGTTATGTCCTTCAGTACTGGTCACCTCTTCATATTTTGATTACTTTCAGGAAAAATTAAGTATTCGACAGCAATTGAACGATGCAAAGCAACAATTATTACAACAAGCTGAATATTGTACAGAAATGGGTGCTGCAGTATGCACATTATTGTGGAGTGTTTCTAATAATGAAGAAGCAGTTAAAAATATCCTGGGAAGTGTAAGTTTAGCCACTTTTGGGAGATTAAATCATTTGGATAAATGACAGCCTTGTTCAAATCATTCTAAAAAGAGCTAACTCTTTTTCTCAGTCTAGTTGGAATTAACACACTACAGTTAAACATGACATATTTGCTAAATACTTTCCTGAACCTAGATTATAGTAGCTTTATGCCATTTGAGGCCAAATATTGGTCCAAATTGAACCAACAGCATTGGTAGAATTTAAGCTGGTCCTTAATGTTAAATAAGTAAGTAAAAGGAGGCATTTAGAAGACATATTTAGGAATTATCTGTATTTTTGTACATGTTATTAGTTAAATACTCAGACACCAAAGGAAATAAGCAGAAAATGGATGTTAAGCAGATACAGATGGAACTACGTTAATTAAATAAATAATGATAACCTGTTAATTACTACTAAATGCTATCCAGAAAAGTTCTATCTTTACCATCTTCAGGAATACTGATATGAATAGGCTTCTAAGGGAAGGCTATAAGGCTGGTGCTATAATAGCAGCAACAACAAAAATCTGGCCTGAACCCGCCACCCACCCTCCTTTTATGAAAATGGGATACAACCAACTTCTAGGATGAGAGTACTGGACAG